AGCTGGAGGGGCTCCTGTCCATTGGGGTCTCCTCCCCTGATCCTGGAGGGGCTCCTGTCCATGGGGTCTCCTCCCCTGATCCTGGAGGGGCTCCTGTCCATGGGGTCTCCTCTCCTGATCCTGGAGGGGCTCCTGTCCATGGGGTCTCCTCCCCTGATCCTGGAGGGGCTCCTGTCCATGGGGCCTCCTCCCCTGATCCTGGAGGGGCTCCTGTCCATGGGGTCTCCTCCCCTGATCCTGGAGGGGCTCCTGTCCATGGGGCCTCCTCCCCTGATCCTGGAAGGGCTCCTGTCCATGGGGCCTCCTCCAGTCATGGCTTCCTCTCAAGGTGGGTCCCTCCTCTGCAGTTGGCCTGGGGACTCTGTTCGGGGACTGGACCCTGGAGGCGCTCTCTCTCCCAGGGCCCTCATGGAGCTGACTGCCCCTGTGCCCGTGGAGGCTGACCTTGCTTTCCTCGGACTCCAGGGGCCACCATCCAACCAACACACACCTCCTGGGCTCCCACAGCCCCCATGCTTGCCAGTGAGGCCACGTGGCCCTCGGCCCTGCCTCTGGGGTTAGGGACACTGAGGTCCCAGGTGCCAGGAGGCACCTTGACTTCTGTCCCATGCCTCTGCAGCCCAGGATTGGGCCCGCGAGGGGCCTGTGGAGTTGCCCACCCAGGGTGGCTGTTGCTGTCAAGGGTGGACCAGAGTCCAGACAGTGTGAGCCTCAGAAGAGGCAGGCAGGCCCCTGCCCTCCAGAGTCCCAAGGCTAGGGACATCGCGATGGCCTGGAAGGAGCCCCTGCCCCCACAGCTCCTGGCCCTTTGCCCGGAGGAGGAGGAGGAGGAGGAGGCGGCTGTGGACACTTCACCAGTCCACCTGTGGGAGCCAAGGCCATAGAGGCTGGCGGCAGGCAGAGAGATGCCTGGGGTCACTGAGCAAGGGAAAGCAGCCCTCAGGCAGCTGGCTCACAGGACGGCAGCTGCCCACCCGCCCCGAGTGCCTGGCCCTGAGATCCTCTGGAGCTGCTGGGGTCACCTCCTAGTCAGAACCTGGCTTCTCCCTCTACCTGTCCGTGTCGTCAGAGCCTGCACCCCTGGCCACCCTGGCCAGCTCTCCATTTCTGTGAGGCTGGGAGCTGGGCCTGGGCACCATCTTCCCGGGGTGGGCCTCTGCCAACTGGCCGCAGCACCGCTCTCCAGGGCACACGTGAAAAACAGGAGGATTTTATTGTCCTCCAGCCTGGCTTCCCAGGAAGTCCCGTGGCCACCAGCCCTGGCCAGGCTGGGGTGGGCATCCTCAGGAGCTGTGCTGCCCGCGGTCAAGCCAGGGGTTCTGCAGTGGCCCTGCTCAGCCAGCAGAGGACGGTGGCTGCCCGCTTAGTGAGACTCAGCCCTTGGCAGGTGCTTTCCCGTGAGGTCAGAGGGGCAGGCAGGTCCTATTTTGGGTGATGGCCACCTCCTCCTCAGGCACCAGGCCCAGGGTACAGCAGGACAGCGTCAAGTGGGCACTGCTGGGTGGACAGCTGGTCGCTGAGGGTCTACCACAGGTAATCAATCCTTCCAGGTCCCACCTGGCCTCCCCTGGGGAGTAGGGTGGGGGACCGGAGACTTGTGTGGAGGCCAGGGAGAAGGGGTGGGCCAGCTTTGTTGGGTGGGGGACTGATTTCCACACCAGAGGCTGAGGGCCAAAAGCTCTGGACCTGAGCTGCAGGCCACGGGGGACTGTAAAGCTGGCCAATGCCAAGCTGAGCCCAGGGAGAGGAGGCCTCCTCCAGTGGACCCAGGAAGGCAGCTGGACAGAGGTCTCTGATGGGATTCCAGCCCGCGGTGCCTGTGGCTGGGAGTGGAGGAGCGCACGGACCCCGTGCCCTGCCTTGTGCCCTGGGCTGACCCGCCATAGGCAGAGCCTGCCAGGCCCTGGTCAGGAGCTGCTGACAGGCCTGGGACACAGCCGCTCCAACCCCAGGCCTGCGCGCTTCTCCCGGGTGCAGGTGCCCTGATCGGCTGTGTGGCTCTCGGGGCGGCTCCTCTCTTGGGGCCGCAGCGGGTGCCTGGAGGGGGGCAGTGGACTGCCAAGGGCTCCCAGGCAGGCAGGACGAAGGAGGGCAGCGTCCAGCATCCCTGCCCAAGTGCCTTCTGGGCAGTGGCCCCTTGGCCCTGGACCTTAGCAGTGGCAGCCGTGGGGTGGATCACACTGTGAGCAGGGCTGAGGCAAAGGGCCCAGGCCCTGGATCCTCGACCCCGAGGCTCAGCCAAGGGGTCAGGCCGGTCAGGGGAGCCTGGCAGCTATGACCCTCCTGCCTCCAGGGCCTGGTCCTCTGCTCATGTCCAGCTCCCTGCCCACTGTGGACTTTGAGGTGGCCTCAGCCAGCTGTCCTGGCCACCAGCCCATCAGACTGAGCAGGAAGGAAGGGGGGCCCCTGGAGGGCAGGGTGTGGCCCTGCTGGCTTTCTCCATGGTGGAGCTGTGAGCAAAAGGGACAGTGGCCACGCCACCTCCTGGCCTGGGCAGCTGTACCCCCTGAGCTCGAACTTGAGAAGCTGTGGGATTCTGTGAGGCAGCTTCAGAAAGTGGAGGCCCTGGACGGCGGAGCGAGTGGCAGGGTCAGACTGGAACCAACCAGGGCCCCGGGGCTCCCCAGTCACTGAGGTATCGGGGCTACATCAAGCCGGAGTGCAGTCCAGCGTGAGCAGGGAGTGCGGGGAGGACACCCCACCCGCAGCCAGCCAAGTGCTCACCTCACCTCCTCTCAGGTCCACTGGCCTTCTCCCCGTCCTTCTGTCCACCCATCTACTTCCCACCTACTTACCCATCCATCCATCCATCCACCCACCTTTCTGCTCATTCATATTTATCCATCATCCCTCATCCATATCCATCCATCCGTCTGCCCATCCATCCATTCATTGATACATACACCAATACACCCATCCATCCACCTGTCTGTCCATCCATCCTTCCATTCACCCATCTATCCATCTACCTATCCTCTGTCTGTCCACCCCAACCTCACTGAGCACCTGCTGAGTACTGGGAGGTGCTGGCTGACTCTGGCCCCCCAGGGCTGCACCGTTGGGCGTAGACCAGAATGCGCTGGTGCCGGTGCTATGAGGTTTGTATTGGGTCAGGGGGTGGTGTCATAGACGTTCTAGAAAAGGAGTGTGGGACCCCACCCATGGTGCGCACCCCAACTTAGGCCACCCCACAGCTCAGACTCTGAAGTCGGTTGTTGCAGAAGGCTATGGGGCAGAACTCAGTGCTTGAATCCAGACCTGATGTGCTATGCCATCAGGGGGACTGGCCCACCAGTATGGTCCTTCTGTCCTGGCCAGTCCCACTCCCCATCCCGCCCGTCAGAGAACACAGGAGGCCAGCGTGGGGGCTGCTCAAGGAACTTTATTGTACAAAGTGGGTCTTCCGCAGGCAGAGCAGGGAGGGTGCGAGGCCGTGTCCGTCCCAGCGCAGGGCTCCTGCTGTGTGGCGGGTGACCGGCCTCCATCTCTGGCCTTCCTTGGGAAGGCTCAGCCTCTCCAGGGCATGGACCATCGAGCCAACGGTCAGGGAGCTCTTTCCTCCGAGATGCCAGAGGCAGAGCTGGGGGATCCGTGGGGTGGGATAGGGGTTGGAGGGTCCAGAAGCATAAGGGGGTGGTGACAGCAGTGGAGCTGTCAGAAGGACAAGGTCAGGCTACAGTGGCAACAGGAAGCAGTCTCAGCTAGGGCCGGGGGCTGGTGAGTCTGGGGACAGAGGTGCTTCTGGTGTGTACCTGCCAAAACACGGGCGTGGAGCACGGGAAGCATCAGTGTGGACCCGAGAACAGGTCTGCCTGCCCCGCCAGGCCTTGGCTCTGTGACCCCTGCCTCTGTCTCTGGTGGCTGCCTGGCCCGGCCCACACTCCTCCCCGCGTCAGAGGCACCTGCTGCAGCCTCTTGGGACACTGGCACCCTGGGTGGACTCCGAGGCTGGACCTGAGGCTCCGGTTCCACAGGCCGGCTGTCGAGAGGCAGCCGGAGGCTGGGAGCGCGCCGGGCAGACTCCCCCAGCCCCGCCTCAGGCCAACGGGCTCTCGCCTCTGCAGAGCCAGCCCCACTGCGGAAGCGGGGCCTCCCTCCTCCCCAAACCAGACAGCCTCTGGCTCGGCCCAGATGCCATTTGTCAACGTCCTTGCAAACTCGTGGCGCCCAGAAACCAAGGCGGGTAGCTTGGCCAGGACCACCCGGCTCGGCGGTCTGCAGGAGTACCCGTTCAGCACAGCTCAGCGAAATCCGCTCCCACCTTCCAGCCAACCTGCCTCTGCCAGGCGGCCTCAGCTTCCCCGGGCCTCTTGGCCGCCTCCCCTCACCACTGGCTCGCAGCGGACGGACGCGCCTGTGGTCAGGCCGGCGTCGGTCTGGCGCCCCTCACGTGTCTGCGGGCAGCCTGCTTTTCCCACCCTCGCGGGGCCTCCCCGGAGGGCTCACAAGTGGGTCTCCTGTCCTGCCCTGTGCGGCACCGCAGCCTGGCCCCCTCGTCAGCCCCAGGGACTGCCCGGCTCCCCCCCACAGTCACGGATGCCCAGGCCTAGAAGGATCTGGCAAGTTCGGGGCTCCGGAAAGCTGCTCAGGGGGACTCCTCATCCCCGGGCCGGCGGGGTGACCGGAGACTCCGAGCCCCCCACCGGGCGGGGCGGGAGGCCAGCCTGAGCAGGGTTCCTCCCATGCAGGGTGCAGCGATGCTCACTTCGGCCACCTCAGTGACCCTGGAGGCCCGTGGCCCCAGCCCCCAGAGGCCCCCTGGACCTCCACCACCCCTGCTGCCAAAGCCGGGGAAGGACAACCTGCGTCTGCAGAAGCTTTTGAGGAAGGCAGCTCGGAAGAGGATGGCAGGGGCTGTCCCCGCCCCGCCCGGAGCCTTCCGCGCCTCCCTGTCCCCTGTGAGTGAGGCCAGCCATGACCTGGAGGCCACGACCCCATGTGCCACTGAGGCCCGGCACACGGTAGCACCCCTGCCACGCTCCCCACACACGCCCGTCATCCACCACGTGGCCTCACCCCAGCAGAGGTCCACCTTCTCCTTCAGCCTCACTGAGCACAGGGCACTGGCCACACATGGGGAGGCCCCTCCGAGGCCCGAAGCCCTGGCCCCAGAACCTACACGACTGCCCAGTGGTTTTGCCCCCGTCTCAGCCCCCAAATCGGGAGGCACACACATCACCCGTGTGCTCATCCAGCTGACACCATCCCCACATGACGCAGCCCCTGAGCCACTCAAGACGGCCTCCGAGGGGGGGCCCAGGGCTCAGGGTGGGGACACGGCTCCAGTCACCCACAGTGCCCAGTCTCTGATCCCCGTGGCCCACATCCGCCCGCTGCCTGCCAGGACCCAGGAGGCCAGCCCTGGACCCGAGGAGCCCTCTGTAGCAAGGCCACCCTGCAGTTTCCAGGCCTCAGCATCCAGAGAGGCCAGCACCAGGGTGGTGGTGCCCATAGCCCCGACCTACCGCTCTCCCGGACCCCTGGCCGCTGTGGCCCCTGAGGCCGAGTGCCCAGAGGAGCCTCCCCGGTCCAGCCCTGCTCTAGAGGCTGAGAGGATCTCCAGGCCCCTGGGAAGCTCATCCCTGGCCCTGCCATCCGGTCCCCACCCGGGCCCTGCCCCCAAAGTTGCACCCAAGCCGCGGCTCAGCGGCTGGACGCGCCTCAAGCAGCAGCTGATGGAGGATGCAGAGGATCCCTCATTCCCAGAACCGGAGCCCAGCCTGGGGTCCATGCAGCCAGCGGTGCCCGCTGTGGCTGGTCCCCGGCCGCCTGCCTCCCGGGCCTCCAGAATGTGGGATGCCGTGCTGTACCGCATGTCCGTGGCCGAGTCCCGTGGCTGCTTGGCGGGGCCCAGGGGTGGGAGCTGCCCCCCAGCTGGTCTTGCCCGCCTGCCCTTCCTATACCGGCCTCGCTTCAATGCCCGGAAGCTGCAGGAGACCACCCGGCCCCCTCCCTCCTTCCACTCCAACCTGCAGCTGAGCCCCCAACCCAAGAACTTCAATCGGACGGCAGCAGGCTGGAGGCTCCAGTGAGGGGCAGAGTGGTCCCCTGGGACCCAGGCCCAGGAGGAGGCGGACAGGCTGAGGGGAGGCCGTGGCCATTGTGAAGGAGGTGCAGGAGGACAGTGTGCGTCAGGGGCTGGGGAGGCGGGCCCGGAGCCCAGTGGGTGGTTGGGGCAGGTCGAGGGGACAGGAGCGGTAAGGACATTTGGGGAAGGGGAAGGGGTGCAGAGCGTGCAGCGAGGGGCAGCGGCAGTCTCAGCAGTGTGGGGAGGCGGAGAGGTACACCTCAGGGTCAGCGTGGGGTTGGGGGGAGACAGGAGAGGTGGCCTGTGCCTCCTGTCGGGCAGCCCTACTGCCCCCTCCCTCTGCTGGTCAAGGGGGAGCCAGCACTGGCCCTGGCAGCTAGCCGCTGGTCCTGAGGGGCCTGGGAGGGCGGGCCAGGTGCAGCGGGCTGGCCCTGGGAGCAGGGTGACGGGAGGAAGGCCACCAGGGCTGGGGGCCTGTGATGGAAGAGTGGGGCAGGGACGCAGTGCTGACGAGAGGCGGGGTGGGCGGGGGCACTGGAGGGGCTCCCTGCTGGGCCCTGGGCCCTTCCCACAGCCTGGCAGCGGCCTCCAGCCCCAGCCCTGGGAAGCAGGGGAGGGACACAGGTGAGGGACAGGAAGTGGACTGTGAATGGAGCCTGGGATCCAGGCCACTAATAAATGTGTGTCCAGCCATGGTGTCGCTCTCTGTCTCCACCTGGACGGGGAGGGCAGCAGAACCTTCCAGGGGCCCGTGGGAGGGGGAGACATAGGTTCTGCTCCTTTAAGATCCTCAGGGCCTGGGTGCTCAGGGAGCACTCTCCTGGGGGCTCCACCCCACCAGCTCTAGGCCAGGCCGCCCTCTCCTCTCTGGAGGACCCCTGGGTCACAGGGGACTCCTGAAGGGCACTTTGAGGTGGCTGAACCATCCTGACCTTGATGGACGGTTCCAGGTGTGAGACCAGGGGCCAGGTCTGCCAGGGGCCAGAGGCTGAGTTGGCTCTGAGCTTCGGCTAGCTGGGAGGCCAGGCCTCAGCCCGCAGGCCTCAGCCTCACGGCCTGAGACATGGCCAGTGGGCCCTGCTCCCTTGAACTCTCCCACACTCCACACACGGCACTCGTCACCACCCTGGACTCACCGAGACGCAGGCCCTAGGGTACCGGGCCCTCGTCCACAAGGACCTTCTCGTACTTCCCGTGTCCGGTGGCCACAAACTTGTACCTCTTTCCAGATGGTGTGGCCTGTGGGGGAAGAAGGCCAAGTCAAAGGGAGAGGGGAGAAAGGGAGGCCATCCGGCCCACGAGGGCAGCCCGCCTCGCCTGGCCCGGCCTGCGCGGTCACATCAGGCCCTACCTTGATGGAGGATGAGGGCGTGGGGTCTCCTCTGAGCTCCCAGAGGCTCTTCTTGCTCATGTCTCCTGCTACAATATCCTGGGCAGACAAAGGGGCAGTCACGGGCAGAGCCAGGCCGTGGGGCTGGCAGCCCTGGCCCTTCTCTTTGGCTGGGTCTCGCCTGCTCAAGGGGACCTGCCTACCTCTCATCTCGAGGGAGACCCGGGGGAGCTTCCACCGATGGCCCAGGCTTCTCCACACCACCTCCCACAGGCCAGCCCTCGGCCCTCCCCCTCACCCCGAGTGGCCACACACTGGCTCTTCCAGGGACCTCTGCTGCTACCACCCGCCAGGCTTTGCCTTCCCAGCTCTGCTCTGCCTGCAGGGGGCCCTACCTTGCAGGAGGGGGTCTTGGCAGAAGACAGAGTCTGCATCTCTCCTGTCTCCCATAGACTCTTGGTACTGGCCACCGCCATGCTGGGCAACTCTATGGAGGCCTGGCGGGAGAGTCTGGGCGTCCGGCCAGCAGACTGTGGAGGAGACAGAGCCCCAGGTAGCTTTAGTGGACAGCCACCACGGGGCACGCTGGGCGGTTCAGTCTCCCCACGAGGGCTTCCCCACAGCCTGCTGGAACGGGGTGCTCCCCTCCCACGGTGCGCGCGTCCTGAAGCACTCAGGAGCCCAAGGCACGCGAGACATCGGGGTCTGTCTTCACGCTGCTCATGGGAGGGGCTAGAGGAATCCGTGTGGTGTGGAGGGCCACTGGTGGCACGGAGAGGTTTGTTTGCACAGAGGGGTGTGGGTTGGATGAAAGGGTATCAGCTGGACAGGGAGACATGGGTCCAGTAAATGGTTATGACCAGACCTCTGTCACTGACCGGAGGAGTGTCAGCTGGAGACAGGGTGTTGGTGGCACGGAAAGTCTACGCAGGAGTGGAGGGCACGGGCCCCGCGGGCAGGCGTACCTCAATGGCCTGGGTATACTGCTCCAGCCGCTCGTCGATCCTGGCGATGGGCAGGGCTGGCTGGGACTTCTTCACAGTGTTACTGGAGGGTAGAGGGATGAGCCTCACGTCCCCGTCAGTCCTCCCAGCCCACCTTGAGACCCTCTTGGAACCCCCCAGGTCCCAGGTCTCCACCCCTTCTTGAGAATCCTGGGGGACGGACACACCTCTTCTCTATGGAGCGGTTCAGGGACTCGGTCCTGTCAGCAAGCTGTGGAGGTGGAGAGGGCTGTGGGTCCTGGGCAGCCAGAATAGGCCATGCTAATCCCCCAATGACCCCACCCATCAATCCAGTCATGGATTGTGACTTCCATGTCACAAAGGCTACTGCTTGCTGGCTATGAGGAGGTATAGAAAACAGGAAAGGACATGGGGCAGGAGCTAGGGTGCAGAGGACACGGGTCAGGAGCTGGGGGGGCAGAGGACATGGGGCAGGAGCTGGGAGAGGAGAGGACATGGGGCAGGAGCTGGGGGGGCAGGAGGACATGGGGCAGGAGCCTGGGGGGACAGAGGACACGGGGCAGGA